ATCCTCGTGCAGGGATAGCGGTATCGATTTACTTCCGGGTGGCAGACTGTCTGATCTGGAATATGCAGACGACATTGTGCTGCTAAGCGAAGGTGCAGGTAAGTTGCAAGCTTTCCTGGATAGCTTGAATGCCAGTGTAGCCATGTTCGGTATGCGTTTTTCACCTTCAAAGTGCAAAATGTTTCTACAAGACTATGTTGGTCCACCACCCAACTTCACTCTAACCGGGGAAGTAATAGAGCAAGTGGATAGTTTTTGTTATTTGGACAGCTCTATCTCACCCGGTGGACGCATCACAGATGAAGTGTCAGCCCACATACAGAAGGCTCGGTTGGCATTTGCCAATGCTGAGGTTAGGCACAGAGTTTTGGGTAACCGCGGTCGCCCACTCGAGCAAGTGGTCGAACTCCATAGATTACGTTGGTTGGGACATGTGATGCAAATGTTACCAAATGGGTTGCCACGGTGAGCGATGTTCGCCGAGGTAGGTAGCGGATGGACAAAGGCCAAGGGTGGTCAAGCTAAGAGCTAGCATATATATATATACATATATAGCATATATATATATATATATACAATAAGTAGTATGTGAATGACGACAATATTTCTCTGGAAGCACACAACCGGTTTCGCGGTTCTTGCCGCTCGTCAGGCTTGTGTACCCGATAATCTTTTACCAGTTCAGTCATATACTTGTACCCAGGAAGAAGACCATTAGGTCACGTTTGTTGCGGTTAGTAGCATCTAACCCACTTGCAAAGCATCAAATCATAGCATTGATTCTCCAATGGACTGGCTCTGAAAGAGCTGTCTATCCAATGATCACCCGGTGTTACAAACAAGGGTGTTGTGACGAATATATATACATATATATAAAGATAGATGGATAGATAGACAAATAAACCAATGCATTGGTCATTCTCTTATGCGCTAACACTCAAAAACACTGGATGAAGACAACACAGGACCCAGATTCTAACACTGTGACCTTCCGTGACTTATTGTTTTGTAACCTTAAAAATTCCTGATTGTATCCTTAGTACTAGCCTATTTGGCCGTTTGGAAAAATATGTATGCATTTAATGTTGCTATATCTTCATTGTCTTCATTTCAGCGTCGGATGTTTTTATAGTTCCAATCAGGAATACCAAATCACACCCTCGTCTCTTCGTCAGGTATGATCGAAAGCAAAGTGCGAAATGTTTCCTATCTTCGTTCCTTTCCGGAAATCAATGATGCATTTACCATTGTGGACAAAAAAGGCCAAGGAACCTTTGCTTCAGTATTTGCTGTAAAAGATAAGAACAAACAGGATTCAAAACGTGTATACGCCCTTAAGATGCTTATCCCGACGGTAGATGTGCGTCGTATTGAAAATGAACTTCGAATCCTTCGCAGATTGGGGTAATGAATTTGACCTACCCTTTTTGATCACTTATTTTCTAGAGGCAAATGCAATATTGTAAAAATGCACACCGCTTGGAGAATTCGCGATCATGTCTTTATTCTTATGCCATTTATCAATTTTACTCCGTTTTCTGTGAGTTGTCAAATTTTCCATTATCTCGTTGAATCCATTACAGGATTATTACCTAACGGCAAACGAGGATGAAATTGTTCGATATGTACGCAATCTGTTGATTGCTCTTTCTTATGTGCACCGTCATCGTATCATTCATCGGGATGTGAAACCGACAAACTTCCTGATGGATTCAACCACTAGGCGGTAAGCTGGACTGGCTTGTCGCAAACTGTAACTCGTAGTTTCTATTTGGTAGATTTTGGACTGGCTCATTCGGAAATTTATGGAGATGTAGATGAGCGTTGGGAATTGGATTGTGATGTGCACGAGGAAAAACTAAAACACACCTATCCAAGAAAATCGAAAAGGCCGCTATCACCAAGTTCCGGAAAAGTACGCTTTTAAGCACAATTTTAAACAGTTCTACTGATTACATGACGCTTTTATTGTATTCTAAAATTGCTGAGCAGTAATGAAGTTTAATGTCTTTTATTAAATCATTACAATTAGGTTTGTGCATCAAATAAGTTTTAAAGTTTGTGTTCTGACGTAACATACTGTCTTCCAACAGCCTGTTGAAAGACCTAAATACCGGGTGTAAAAT